AATCTTTTCTTTTTTTTTTTTTTGAGTCAGAGTCTCACTCTGTGGCCCAGGCTGGAGTGCAGTGGCACACTCACAGCCACTGCAGCTGCGACCTGCTGGGCTCAGGTGATCCTTCCGTCCCAGTCTGCCAAGAATCTGGATGTACAGGCATGCACCACCATGCCTGGTTAAGTTTTTGATTAATTGTGAAGATGAGGGCTCGTCAATTTGCCCAGGCTGGTCTCGAACCTATGGGCTCAGGCAATCCTCTCACCTTAGCCTCCCTAAGTGCTGGGATTACAGGCTGAGCCACCGAGCCCAGCCGAATTACATCATTTAAAGGCAAGCTTGGTAGCTTGGCTTCTGTCTTACTAAAATTCTTTAGCATTGGACTGGGCATGGTGGATCACACCTATAATCCCAGCACTTGAGCTGAGGTTGAAGCAGAAGGATTACTTGAGACTAAGAGTTTAAGTTGAGCCTGGGCAACATAGCAAGACCTTGGGCATGAGCCACCGTGCCCAACCTGAGGCCTTTTTTCATCTGGGGAAACAACAAAAAGTCTCTCAGGGTGGGACATGGGGGTCAGGCCTTTTGTTTTTGCTTTTGTGGGGGTCCTTCCTTGTATATATAACAAGAACCTTAGCTTCTACAACCTCCCCTTATCGTGAATCAAGCATTTCTTTCTACTAATTTAAACTTATTTAAATAGAGCCTAACTCTTCCTACCAATTGCCAATCAGAAGAGCTTTGAATCCAACCTATGACCTGTAAGTTCCCCCTCCTTCAATATTTCCTGCCTGTCTGGGATGAACCAAAACAGAAGTTACAGGCCAGGACATGTATTAATTTATGTCCTGGCCTGTAACTTCTGTTTTCTACCTTACATGTATTAATTTATGTCTTGGCCTGTAACTTCTGTTTTCCTAAAATGTGTAAGATCAAGCTGTTACCCAACCACCTGGTCATGTTCTCAGAACCTTTTTGAACCCGTGGCACAGGCTTTGGTGATTCATATTTGGCTCAAAATATACCTCTTTAGATAAGTCTATAGAGTTTGACTTTCACCAGTGTTAAATAATTTTTTTAATTGTGTATTTGTTCTTACATATTTAAACTTCAGTCATCTTCAAAGTACTCTCCATTTGAAGAAATATGCCTATCAAGATGCTTTTTTCCACTGCTTCAAAGTTTTGAACTTATCTATTTTGATGCCTTTTAGCACTTCTGCCTTTTTTTGTTTCACATCGGAAAAGCATTTCCCTTTAAGGACTTTTTCTTTTCTTTTTTTTTTTGAGTCGGAATCTCACTTTGTTGCCCTGGCTGAAGTGCAATGGCATGCTCATGGCTACCACAGCCTCGACCTACTGGGCTCATGCAATCCTTCCACCTCAGCCTTCCAAGTAGTTGGAACTATGGGCATGCACCATCATGCTCAGCTAATTTTTTTATTTATTGTAGAGACAAGGTTTTGCCATGTTGCCCAGGCTGGCCTAGAACCCACGGGCTCAGGCTCTTGCCTCCTCCTCCCAAAGTGCTGGGATTACAGGCATAAGCCACCGCTCCCGGCCTGAGAACGTTTTTCATCTGGGGAAACAACAAGTCTCTCAGGGGTCAGGCCTTTTTGGGGGTCACAAACTGCTGAACACAGCACAGTGTGGGCAGGTACTCACCATGAAATGGGCAAATGTGTTGAAAGACTCCCCAAGAGAAAATTCACTGAGGGCTGGGCGTGGTGGCTCATGCCTATAATCCCAGCACTTTGGGAGGCCGAGGTGAGAGGATTGCCTGGCCCACAGGTTCAAGACCAGCCTGGGTAACTTGGTTAGATCTCTTCTCTATAACAAATTTAAAAAATTAGCTGGGTGTGGTGGCGCGTGCCTGTAGTTCCAGCTACCTGGAAGGCTGAAGCAGAAGGATCACCTGAGCCTTGGGCATGCCACTGCACTCCAGCCTGGGTGACAGAGTGAGATTACAACAGAAAGAAGGAAAGAAGGAAGGAAGGGGGAGAGAGAGAGAGAGAGAGAGAGAGAGAAAAGAAGGAAGGAAAGAAGGAAGAAAGAAAGAAAGAAAGAAAGAAAGAGAGAGAGAGAGAGAGAGAGAGAGAAAGAAAGAAAGAAAGAAAGAAAGAAAGAAAGAAAGAAAGAAAGAAAGAAAGAAAGAAAAAGAAAAAAGAAAGAAAGAAAGAGAAAGAAAAAGAAAGTTCACTGAAGCTGAACGCAGTCTCTCAACAACGCTGGCTGGTACACAGATGCCGACGGGTTCCTAGGACACTTACCTAGTGGGGAAGTCTGTACTACAAGGGTCCTGCCCCCCCAAAAGATTATTTTGCTTTTTTGGGGTGGGTTCCCCTCGTAGATGAAGCCTCTAAGTAGCAGGCTTCAGGGAGATGAGGTGGTAAATGTCTCCTTTGGGGCCTTACAAGGTGTCAGCCTCTTAGTTAAATCTCTCCTGGATATGGGAAGATTCTCTACTGATGAAAATTTCACCAAGAGTAGGCTTTGCAGAGACATTCCAAAATATGTTATATATGTAAAATGTTCATATACATATAATATGTGTGTGTATGTGTGTATACACACACATACACACGCACATTTATGTAAAATGTTCTTATTCGCTATCTTATTGCCACAGAGCGTTTTGTCAGTCTGTTGATCTCCACTTGAATGTTCTGTTTGTTTGTTTGTTTTGTTTTTGAGTTCGAGTCTCTTGTGGCCTAGGTTGGAGTGCAGTGGCACGCTCACAGCCACTGCAGCCTCGACCTGCTGGGCTTAGGTGATCCTTCCGCCTCAGCTGGAACTACAGATGCACGCTACCATGCCTGGCTAGTTTTTTGCAATTTATTGTAGAGATGAGGTCTCACCAAGTTGTCCAGGCTGGTCTCGAACACCCGGGCTCAGGCAATCCTCTCCCTCGGCCTCCCAAAGTACTGGGATTACAGGTTGAGCCGCTGCACGTGGCCTGCATTTAATGGGTTTTTTGTTTGTTTGTTTGTTTTTTGAGTTGGAGTCTCACTCTGTCGCCCAGACTGGAGTGCAGTGGCCGCTCCAGGCCACCGCAGCCTCGACCTGCTGGGCTCCGACGATCCTTCCGCCTCAGCCTTCCGAGTAGCCGGAATTACAGGCGTGCGCTACCATGCCCGGCTAATTTTTTGATTTTATCGTGGAGATGAGGTCTCGCTGCCAGGGGGGTCTCGAACCCGCAGGCTCAGGCAATCCACTCACCTCAGCCTCCCAAAGGCACAGGATTACAGGCTGAGCCGCTGAGCCCGGCCTCCATTTAATGTTAACACTGAACCCTTGAACCTAAATGCCACAGGAAGGGGCTATAATGAGGAATGTCCCACCTTCTTTTCCATCACTGCCTGGAATTTCATCTTTCAGATTTCCCTGGGTCCAGTTCAGCCAGTTGGGTGGCTTAGAATTTTATTTTTGGTTTACAGGAAAAAGAGGTAGCAAAAAATACATTTCTAGTTCTAGCACCTTGTGTGATCTTAGTCCAGCTGCCTGGAAGCCGCTTGTGTTGGATAACAAGCTTCCTAGAATAATTTGCAAGGTCGAAAGTCCGGTGTTTATTTTAAACTGTTCCCCTGGTGTCAACCACTTCCAGGCCGCCTCTCTCCTCTCTCTGCTGCTGCTGCTTGAGGGAGGAATGTTCTCCTCATCCTCATCGCCCTCAGGTCTGCTGGAGAAGGTCTTCCAACACCTGGATCTCCACCAGGATGAATTTGTGCAGGTAGGAAGTCTTGGAATATACGCTTTGGACATATGGATGAAATGATTATTTGCTTGGAGACGTGAATTGTTGTTGTTTTTTTGTGAGCCAGAATCTTATTCCATTATCCAGACTGGAGTGCTGTGGTATGATCACGGTTTACTGCAGCCTTGACCTCCTGAGCTCAAGTGATCTCCTGCCTCAGCCTCCCGAGTAGCTGGGACTACAGGTGTACACCATCACGCCTGGCTAATTTTTTAATTTTTTTTTGTTGAAATGAAATCTCACTATGTTGCCCAGGCTGGTCTCAAAGTCCTAGGTTCAAGCAATCCTCCCTTCTAGGCCTCCCAAAGTGCACCAGGCATGGATGTGGATTTTTTTTTTTAACCTGACAACCTAATTTTATTTAAATTAAAATGCCTGTATTCCTTGTTGAATTAAAATCATCAATACTTGGTAGATTGTGGAAGAGACCCCTCCTAGCCATTCCTCCCAATGAGGCCCTCTCTGTTCATTTCCAGCACATTTGGTCTAGGGATGTCCATCTTGAGGCGATCAGCAAACTCTGTTGAGCCCGTCTGCTGTGGTCCATCAGGTGGCCCATGAATCATACCACCTGGCCCCAGGAGTGGCCTGAACAGAGCTAGGGAGCTGGAGAGCTCTGCGAATTTCAATGGCAATGTTGGTTTTCTTTCTTTTTTTGGGGCGGGGGGTTTGAGTTGGAGTCTCACTCTGTCGCCCAGACTGGAGTGCAGTGACTGCTCCCGGCCACCGCAGCCTTGACCTGCTGGGCTCTGGCAATCCACTCACCTCAGCCTTCCAAGGCGCGGGATTACAGGCTGAGCCACCGAGCCCGGCTGGCAATGTTGTTTTGTAGTGCATGTGCAATACACACCTTATCTCCTCTGCAATCCTCCTTCCTAATTCACTGCATATGCTTACGGACGTCACATATGCAGGGAATATGTGCAGGGAGCAGCCGGTACAGGGAGCGGATGCACCTACCCACAGGTGCAGGGAGCAGCGGGCCTGGAAATCTATAACACAAAAGGTGCCAGGAGGGACCTGCAGCCCAACCAAGGCCATCGTGGGGGTAAACGGATGTGACCTGTGATGGCCCCAGGCCTCCAGGGCCATCACAGAGGGAAACCAGGATTCCTGGAGAAAGCTCATTCCTCCTCCATTCCTAATGCATCACATCTGTGCAGGTGTAGGGGGAGAGAGGAGAAGAGGTAGGGAAAGGAGGAAGGGGGTAGAGAGGGACATCTGGGCAGCAGGAGGGGGGAAGGGAGGAACTGGCTGTAGCCCACACTCTCATGCCCCCTCTTCAGCTCTCCTGTCCCCTACTGGGCATTTGATCCCCTCAGCCATAGCCACCTCCCCTCCTCCACATTGCTGTGGGGTTGTCTGCAATCCTCAGGCTGAGAGCTCCTTGAGACCTCCCTGAACTTTGTACCCTGAGTTCTCCACGCCTTGTCTGGCACAGGATAGGCATTCGGTATGCATTTATTGGGTCCATTGACCAATTTTAGGAATATTATTGTGCAAACAATTAGCTATGAAAGCTTTGGCCGGGTGTGGTAGCACACACCTGTAATCCCAGCACATTGGGAGGCCGAGGTGTGAAGATCATTTGAGCCCAGAAGTCTGAGACCAGCTCATGCAGCATAACGAGAACTCATCTCTACAAAAAAATTTTAAAAATTAGCCGGGTGCTATGGCAGGCACCTGTAGTCCCTACTACTTGGGAGGCTGAGGCAGAAGGACTGCCTGAGTCCAGGAGGTCAAGGCTGTAGTGAGCCGTGGTGGTGCCACTGCATTCCATCCTGGGTGACAGAGTGAGACCCTGACTCAAAAAAACAAAACAGGCCGTGCGCGGTGGCTCACACCTATAATCCCAGCACTTTGGGAGGTCGAGGTGAGAGAATTGCCTGGGTCCATGGGTTCAAGACCAGCCTGGGCAACATGGTGAGACCTTATCTCTACAATAAATCAAGAAAAATTAACTGGGCATTGTGGCATGTGCCTATAGTTCTGGCTACTTGGAAGACTGAAGGTGGAAGGATTGCCGGAGCCCAGCAGGTCGAGGCTGCAGTGGCCATGGGCGTGCCACTGCACTCCAGCCTGGGCGGCAGAGTGAGACTCCAGCTCAAAAAACCAAACCGCCGGGTTCAGTGGCTCAGCCTGTAATCCTGCGCCTTTGGGAGGCTGAGGTGAGTGGATTGCCTGAGCTTGCGGGTTCGAGACCCGCCTGGGCAGCGAGACCTCATCTCTACAATAAATCAAAAAATCAGCCGGGCGGTAGCGCATGCCTGTAATTCCGACTACTCAGAAGGCTGAGGCGGAAGGATCGCTGGAGCCCAGTAGGGCGAGGCTGCGGTGGCCGGGAGCAGCCACTGCACTCCAGTCTGGGTGACAGAGTGAGACTCCAACTCAAAAAAAAAAAAAAAAAAAGAAAAAAAAACCAAACCAAACCAAAACAAAACCTAAGAATCATCATTCACAGCCAGGCGAAGGCAAGAGAATTGCCTAAGCCCGTGGGTTCTAGACCAGCCTGGGAAACTTGGCGAGACCTCATCTCTAAAACAAAAAAAAAATTAGCCAGGCATGGTGGCGTGTGCCTGTAGTTCCAGCTACTTAAAAGGCTGAGGTGGAAGCATCGCTTGAGTACAGAAGGTCAAGGCTGCGGTGGCTGTGAGCATGCCACTGTACTCCAGCCTAGGAGACAGAGTGAGACTCCAACTAAAAAAAGAAAAAGAAAAAAGAAAAGAAAAAAGGAAGCTGGCTGCCCTGGTTGCTTACAGTTCCTTTTTTTTTTTTTAATTTTTTATTTGGAGTCTTACTCCATTGCCCAGGCTAGAGTGCGGTGGCACGCTCACAGTCACAGCAGCCTCAACCTGCTGGGCTCAGGTGATCCTTCTGCCTCAGCCTTCCAAGTAGCTGGAACTACAGGCACATGCCACCATACCTGGATAGTTTTTTAATTTTACTGTAGAGATGAGGCCTCGCCAAGTTGCCCAGGCTGGTCTCAAACCTGTGGGCTCAGACAATCCTCTCAAAAATGCTGGGGTTATAGGCATGAGCCACCATGCCCAGCCTACTTGCAGTTTTTTAGTTTTTTTTTTTTAGTCAGATTCTCACTCTGTCACCCAGGCTAGAATGTAGTGGTAAGCCACCCCAGCGTCGACCTGCTGGACTCAGGCGATCCTTCCACCTCAGCCTTCCAAGTAGTTGGAACTACAGGCCCGTGCCACCACGCCCAGCTAATTTTTTGATTTATTGTAGAGACGAGGTCTTGCCAAGTTGCCCAGGAGGGTCTTGAACCAGCGGGCTCAGGTAATCCTCTCACTTTGTCCTCCCAAAGTGCTGGGATTATAGGCATGAGCCACCGTGCCCGGGCCTGCTTCCAGTTCTTAATAATCAAAAGCAGTAGGTGGGAACTCACCCCTCTCTGCAGCCCTGGCGAACCCAGTGAGGACACAGGCCCAAGTATTTAGGAAGACAACCTTTCTCCAATCCCTCCTGCCAATCTTCTGTTTCACCCAGATGTCTCCAGCTTCTGTGTGCTAGATTAAACCCCAGCTCCTCCATCAGTTGTTTTTGAATGTTCATGATGTTCATGGGCGCCGTCTTCAGTCCTCCAGCAATAGAAGAACGTTTGGAGACCTCCTACCTCCTGGCTTTTCATCTCCCACCCAGAGCAGATGTGGGACCCCATGCTTATCTCTCCTTGCTTTTGTCACAGATGCTGAAGGAGTGGGTGGCCATCGAGAGTGATTCTGTCCAGCCTGTGCCTCGTCTCAGACAAGAGCTCTTCAGGATGATGGCTGTGGCTGCCGATACACTCCAGCGCCTGGGAGCCACGGTGGACTCCATGGACATGGGCTCTCAGCAGGTGAAGGCGGTCTCCCTCGGACCTGAGGAGCTACCACTTTTGAACCATCAACCCTGCCCTCATGGGGATGGCAAGAGACGGGCTTGTCCTGATCTTCAACCAAACCCCATACTCAATTTCCAATGAGGATGAGACATTCCACCTGGTTTCAGATCAATTCCTTTTTTTTTTTTTTTTTGAGTCAGTGTTCTTATTCTGTCACCCAGGCTGAAGTGCACAATCACGGGTCACTGCAGCCTCAACTTCCTGGGCTCAGGTAGTCCTCTTATCTCAGTCTCCAGAGTGGCTGGGACTATAGGCATGCGCCACCACATCCAGCTAATTTTTTGATGTTTTTGTAGAGACAAGATCTTGCTATGATTCCCAGGCTGGTCTGGGACTCCTGGGCTCAAACAGTCTTCCTGCCTCAGCCTCTCAAAGTGTCAGATTTACAGGCGTGAGCCACCGCACTCAGCCACCGTCCTTTTTCTTTTAAGTGTGATCCATTATCTTTCTGCAGCTTCCTGATGGTCAGATTCTTCCAATACCTCCTGTCATCCTGGCTGAACTGGGGAACGATCCAAAGAAAGCCACTGTGTGCTTCTATGGCCACTTGGACGTGCAGCCTGCTGAGCGTGGAGACGGGTGGCTCACGGACCCTTACGCGCTTACGGAAGTGGACGGTCAGTGAGGCCCCGACGTGGCAGTGCTGTGGTCTACTGCAGATGGGTTTACTTACAAGGTTTAAGGAGTGGAGATGTGACTCTCACCCCAGGTTCCAGGTCTTAACCTATCAATAAGAATGAATAGATAAACTGGGTTCGGTGGCTCAGCCTGTAATCCCAGCACTTTGGGAGGCTGAGGTAAGTGGATTGCCTGAGCCTGCGGGTTCGAGACCCGCCTGGGCAACTTGGCGAGACCTCATCTCTACAATAAATCCCAAAATTAGCTGGGCGTGGTAGCAGGCACCTGTAGTTTCAGCTACTGGGAAGGCTGAGGCGGAAGGATCGTCAGAGCCCAGCAGGTCGAGGCTGTGGTGGCTGGGAGCGGCCACTGCACTTCAGTCTGGGTGACAGAGTGAGACTCCAACTCAAAAAAAAAAAAAAAAAGAATGAATAGATGACTGGGCACGGTGGCTCACGCCATGATCCCAGCACTTTGGGAGGCCGAGGGCTGAGTCCATGGGTTCGAGACCAGCGTGGGCAACTTGGCGAGACCTCATCTCTATAATAAATCAAAAAATAAGCCAGGCATGGTAGCTCATGCCTGTAGTTCCAGCTACTTGGAAGGCTGAGGTAGAAGGATTGCCTGAGCCAAGCAGGTTGAGGCTGCGGTGGCTGTGAGCATGCCACTGCACTCCAGCCTGGGTGACAGAGTGAGACTCCAACTCAAAAAAAAAAAAAAGAATGAATAGATGGCCGGACACTGTGGCTCACCCCCGTAATCCCAGCACCTTGGAAGGCTGAGGTGGGAGGACTGCTTAAGCCCAGAACTTTGAGACCAGCTTGGACAACATAGCAAGACCTCGTCTCTACAAAAAAATCATAAAACTATTCTGGGACTATAGGCATGCGCTTAGCCTTAGCTTGTCTTAGCTACTCGAGAGGCTGAGGCGGAAAGATCACCTGAGCCCAGGAGGTTGAGATTACAGTGAGCTGTGATTGTACCACCACACTCCAGCATGGGCCACAGAGTGAGACACTGATTCAAAAAAAAAAAAAAAAAAACGACCTGTCACCCAGGTTGGAAAGCAGTGGCACACTCCCGACCACGGCACGGCAGTCTCAACCTGTTGGGCTCAGGCAATCCTTCCACCTCAGCCTTCCAAGTAGCTGGAACTACAGGTACACGACACGACACCACGCCCAGCTTATTTATTTATTTATTTATTTATTTATTTATTTATTGTAGCGATGAGGTCTCACTAAGTTGCCCAGGCTGGTCTCGAACCTGCGGGCTCAGGCAATCCCACTTGCCTTGGCCTCCAAAGTGCTGAGATTACAGGCTGAGTCACCAAGCCCGATTAGCATTTATTTTTAACTCAGCTTGGCAGAGGTGTCCACACTTTTCTGAACATTCTTCTCCGATTTTTACAGGAAAACTTTACGGACGAGGAGCCACAGACAACAAAGGCCCTGTCTTAGCCTGGATTAATGCTGTGAGCACCTTCAGAGCCCTGTATCAGGTGGGTGACGGTTGTGTTTGGGAGTGGGGAGGAGGAGGATGGCAATTCCAAAATGCTTTGAGTCGCTCCCTGTGTTCCCAGTCAACGTTGTTATGTCATTTAGTCCTCCCATCAATCTTTGAAGGTATGTGTTACAACATTCTATCCATTTTACAGATGAGAAGAGTAAGGCTTGGGAAAGTTAGGGAATTTACCCAAAGCGGGCCAGCCAGTGGGAAGGCTAATTAATACTGGGAGGATGGATTTCAGCTTGCTCTGTGAACCACATTAAGAAAACAAAACACTCCAGCCTGGGCAACATAGCAAAACTTTGTCTCTATGAGAAATCAAAAAATTAGCTGGGTGTGGTAGCGAGTACCTGTAGTCGAAGCTACTTGGGAGGCTGAGGCAGAAGGATTGCCTGACTCTAGGAGGTCAAAGCTGCGGTGAACCAGGATAGGGCCATTGCACTCCAGCTTGTGTGACAGAGATTCCAACTCAAAAAAAAAAAAAAAACACCAAAAAAACACACAGTTTAAAAAAAAGAAACATCTTGAGCCTGTGACTAAGTTACTAACTGATGGGACTTGTCTTGGTTTTAATTCTTATCTTATCTTGCCTTTTTTATCTTCTCTTTCTTCTTATCACATAGTGTGATTTGTTAACAGAGATACATACATTTTTAAAGCTGTATTTGCTACTTTGCAAGTGAAGATGGAAATCTCCTTCCATGATGTTCTGTCTGAATCCTCAGATCTTTCCCTGGGAGCCTTCGTAGTTCTCTTTAGTTGTCCAAATCAGGGAGCAGGGGTGCAGTTTTGAGGGAGGCAAATCCCCTCTTTCCAGCCCCCAGAGGACATTCTGGGTGGATCCAGGTTTGCATCTTTTTGTGTGTGTGTGTTGGAGTCTCACTCTGTTGCCCAGACTGGAGTGCAGTGGCCGTTCCCGGCTACCACAGCCTCGACCTGCTGGTCTCCGGCGATCCTTCCGCCTCAGCCTTCTGAGTAGCTGGAACTACAGGCGCGTGCTACCATGCCCGGCTCATTTTTTTTTTTTATTCTAGAGATGAGGTCTCGCCAAGTTGCCCAGGCGGGTCTCGAACCCTCAGGCTCAGGCAATCCACTCACCTCAGCCTCCCAAATGTGCCAGATTACAGGCTGAGCCACCGAGCCCGGCCTTTTTTTTTGAATTGGAGTCTCACTCTGTCGCCCAGACTGGAATGCAGTGGCACACTCAGTCACCCTAGCATCGACCTGCTGGGCTCCAGCGATCCTTCCGCCTCAGCCTTCCAAGTAGCCGGCACTATAGGCGCATGCTACCATGCCTTGTTAATTTTTTGATTTGACGTGGGGTAGAGGTCTCACCAAGTTTCCCGGGTTGGTCTCAAACCTGCGGACTCAGGCAATCCACTAGTCTCGGCCTCCCAAAGTGATGGGATTACAGGCTGAGCCACCGAGCCCGGCCTAGGTTTGCATTTTTAACTGTCTCGTGTTCTCACAAGGATGGTTTCATTTCAAGTCACTCTTGTCACTCCTACTAATGAGTGAATCAAGCTGTGTGGGCATGACAAGTGACTTGATCTCTCTGGACCTTGGATTCTGTTCTGTCAAAATGAGTGCCCTGATTGGGATGGCCAATACTGTGAAACTGTGACACTGTGACTCTGGGTGGTTCCCTGTCTACTTCCATCTGACATAGAAATGCCCCATCAGGACCCTAAGTGACCCTGAGGTGGGGAGAAACTGGCCCTTCCCCCAGTCGTCCTCTCACTGACTGCGTGCCCCTACATGTCCCTGGGACAGAATGGACAGGACTCCTACAATGTTATGTCTTGGAATTTTCTGGAAGAACAATACCGCTTTTTTTCCTTTGAATCAAGGTCTCACTCTGTTGCCCAGGCTGGAGTGCAGTGGCATGATCACTGCAGCCTCGATGTCCTTGGCTCAGGCAATCCTTCGGCCTCGGCCTCCTTGATAGCCTCAGTCCCCCAAATTGGGGGACACTGGGGCCTGCTGGTGAGGAAGACTCCCCACTGTTGCTGGGTCAACTCCATGGTAGGGAAACTTGTGGGAAGAGGAGACAGCTTCCCTCTGGGACTAGCGTAAGAAGGGAAGGACAGTTACCACATCCTAATACTCAAAGCTCTTCCCAAGGAAAGTATCTCCTGGGCTTTACAAAACCCCCAGAGCACCCACTGTGTGCTGCACCTGGGGCAGACTGCAGATATCCATGCTAACCATGGGATTTACAACTGGCTGCCCAGCTCACGCTGGCCCTGCTTCACGGCCAGGATCTCCTGGGACACACTGAGGTGGCCTCAGTGTTCTAGAAAGTGCCCAGACCCTTTGGAACAGTTGCCCGGACTGGTCTCAGACCTCTGGGCTCAGGCAATCCTCTCACCTCAGTCTCCTAAAGTGCTGGGATTAAAGGCATTGTTTGTTTGCTTGTTTTGTTTTAGACTTGGAGTCTTACTTTCACCCAGGTTGAAGTGCACTGGTGTGATCACAGGTACTGCAGCCTTGACATCTTGGGCTCAGGCCATCCTTCTGCCTCAGCCTTCCGAGTAGCTGGGACTACAGGCATGTGCCACCACACCAGGCTAATTTTTTGGTATTTATTGTAGAGATGAGGTCTTGCCAAGTTGCCCAGGTGGGTCTCGAACCCGCGGGTTCCAGCAATCCACTCACCTCAGCCTCCCAAAGCGCGGGATTGCAGGCTGAGCCACTGAGCCTGGCTAGCCTCCCCATTTTTAAATCAGAGGATTGATATTTTACACAAATATTCTAAAGCAGCTAACCTAAACTTCGTTTTTTGCAACATTGTACTAACCACAGGGCTTTGTGAGACTTGCAGGGAATTAAGAGAATTCAACCCCTGGCTCCACAAAGTCTCAGTCCGTGACCTTGGCATGCAGAAGGATTCTGTGAAGCAAAACTTAAAGGTATAGAAAAGCCTTTCTATTTTTTCCTCAACCTTTTTTATTTTTTATTTTTTTGAGTTGGAGTCTCACTCTGTCACCCAGGCTGGAGTGCAGTGGCACGCTCATGGCCACCACAGCCTTGACCCGCTGGGCTCAGGCAATCCTTCCACTTTAGACTTCCAAGTAGCTGGAATTATAGGCATGCACCACCACACCTGGCTGGTTTTTTTTTTATTATTATAGAGATGAGGTCTTGCCATGTTGCCCAGGCTTGACTCGAATCCCTGGGCTCATACAATTCTCTTGCCTCGGCCTCCCAAAGTGCCTGAACACTGGATATTTTCAGAGAGAAATGGAATTCGTTCGTTGAGTTTGAAGACAAAATGGAGAGTGGTACCACTGACAGAGCACAACATCTATGTCATCTTCCCCACCCAGCCCTGGGCAGAAGGCTCTGGGGCACATGCTCCCCTCCAAGGCAGAGGAGGCTGAAGACAAGGTTAGATGTGCCTAACTCTATCTGCCTGGCCTAGAGAGGCTGTAGGAGGAGGGGTAGGTCTACCCAGCCCACCCAAGCCGTCAAGCTTGGAGGATGCAACCCTGGTCCGTGTGGCATCTTTTCCTGGAAATTATTTCATCAGATGCCAGGGTCTTCTTCCTTATTTTATTTTGTCCTGAGTCACAAGCAGACAAGAGGAGAGTGAGCTGGACTTCACCTCTTTTTTTTTTTTTTTTTTTTTTTTTTAGTTGGAGTCTCAATCTGTCATCCAGACTGGAGTG